ATGATTTAAGATAATACTGGTTAGACGACGAAATGTGATAACGTGACCGTCAAACAGAATCTGTAATCTGAATTATGTGCCAGAACTTACTATGGGCGCTCCAAACGAGGAAATTATATACTAATACTAGCTGATCCCGCTTTACCGCGCACTTTGTTGCCGGTAAAAAAATTGCAATGTGCAAAGGCATTTCAATTAGGCAATGTGCATTGTGCACTTATTTTATTTGATGCATCCTTGCACCTGATCTGCCCTATTTACTAATTGTAAGTGGTAACCAAATAAAAAATACTAATTTCTACTTAATATTATTTCTCTTATAATCAATAACAAATATTTCCACAGTAAATTTCAAAATCTATGTACAATAAAATTGAATAAATTATAAATCAACTATAGAATATAGATAATAACTAAATAACAGAGTAACAGACAACTTGCAGTAATGACTATTGAGTAGGTCAGTTTATTAACAACAATTTACAAGTATAACATAATATTTTAAAATTACAAATATTTAATTTAGGTTATTTCTATTAATTATGTTAGTAATTCAAGTTTTTACTAACTTCGATAACTTTTTTTTTTGTTTTATGTATTTTTTTATTTTTTTTATTTTGCATATAACTGTATTGTCTCATACGCATTGTGATATAATATGTAAAAATATTAGTTAACATATCTGTTTGATGTTGAGAATCAGTACAAGCAAATTTCAATCGTATATTGAGTTTAAAAAATTCATTAAAAGTTTCATCAAATACATTGTTTGAATTTGCATGTATTGCAAAACAATTCTCAATGTGTTTAATAATAATAAATAAATTGCTATCAGGATAAGTAAGGTAGCCTTTGGATTTTGCTCTTACCAAATCTGATTCCTTACCAATAAAATCTTGTGAAGTATTAAGCGTTTTTAACCCTCTAACACACATTTCACATTTAGTTTTATGAACTAAACGCTTAGCAATATACCTGGTACAAAAAAATTATATATATGTATAATAAGCAATTAAATAAATACCTACTTTTAAATTTAGTAGGTTTAGTTTTATGTTAAATTATAGATACCCAGCCAAAAAATAAACGACACAATCAAATACGGTAGAATCAGCATAATTGTGTTCTAATAGAATATCGTCAAGGTCCCAACAATCTTCCTGTACAATTGTATCTATTTTTTCTTTTAATTTATTAATTTTAATTATTCTTTCAGAACTATTTGCTGGATCTTTAATAATATCTTTTAAATCTGATAGTGAAATAATGGGAATAGACTCTAGAGACATACAGAGTACAGACAAAATATTATTTACTGTTTTGTTTAATATGTGTAATTATTGTAATACTTACCTTCATATACTGTACAATTTCCTGTCTTAGGAGGTTTTATCATTGAATAAACAGAAAGCATACGGTATAGTTGTAGAAAAGTTGGCGTGGTTGGGTGATCATTTGGACCTGCGATTTGTCTGGTTATTCCAAAAAATTTCTAAAAATCAAAATTATTATCCAAAAAAATAATTATAACAATCATAATTTTGAACTTATAATAGTTTTAATTAAATGTTTATGTTTTATTCAGTATTAATTTCTAAAACAATTTTTCTTTTCAAATTATAATTACTTCCACATTGTCTTGATTACACTTGGCTGTTAGAACATACGAAAATCCACATGTATCTAAAAGATATTCAACTAAGTCTATTGTTGACTGTATGGTTATCCTAAGACCTTCATAAGTCTGCCGTGTTAAAAAATATTTTTCTTGGATTAATCCTTGCGACACATTACTTTCCCATTCATCTAACCAAACTATGGCTTGACGTAACACCTAGACAATTAAATTAATCAATTTTCTCCAGTAGGTAGTAGATAAAAAATCAACATTTAATGTTTGCATGCAACATTAATCACAACCTCTTAAAACAAAGTATAATACATATAAAATATTAATTTGTAATTTACAATACTACACTTTTAGGTGTATACTTTAGTACAGTGGTGTAGACATGATTTCTTAAAAGGGGGGATCAAAAACAGAAAAACGACATAGCTAAATGCGAGTGGAAAATTGGAAAATTCCTCACTCTTTCAAAACATGGGCCAATAGGAGGGGATCTGAGTATCTGACCTCCACTTTAGCATACCATACAGCTATTAAATATACAGAAATGAAAATAGAACAATTTAGTAGATGTAAACAAAACATATGTCTCCCAAGATAAGTTATTAATTATACTAATACACCATGTAGATACTTTAACATATACACAATACACAAAACACAAACATTCTCAATTTGCATGCAACACATTAAAGACCTGTATATCTTTATTATTTTTTCTGATTCCTTCTAATGGGTATTTTCTATTTAGAGCATCAAAAATATCATTCATTATATATGTAAACTTTACAGTTTCTTCTGAGTCTTTGAAACATTCATAATGTTTTTGTTTATAAAAATCCATACCTATTGCTAATGATCTACTAAAAATCTAAACTCCATAAAAATACAAAAAAAGCAACAAATTTTGAATATTATTTTATTAAAAATTAATTTAATTTGATTTAATTAAAAGATACATTACTTGTACAGCATATTTTACTTTCATTTTGGAGAAATTATTTAACTCAAAATGTTCCTTTGTTAATCGTGGACACACTCTAGTTAGAGAGTTACATTCAATATTAAACACTTTACAGTAAAATTCCCATTTAACAGGAGGCATTGAAGGATTTATCTACAAAAGTGAAAATAAAAGTTATTTCAATTCAATATTTCATCAGTTTGTTTATCTACCTGAAATTGTTTATTTTTATGCAACCTGTTTCGTATTGTTTTCATTAAATGAGGAGCATCTGAGAACACAAATATATTTCTGGATGGATCATACGGATTTTCAAAATAGTTTTTGAAATCACTAATGTTTGTGGAATAAATAATAATAATAATAAATATAACGCGTTTTGTTTTTTCTATATAATATTATAATATATTATACAGTGATTTTGACAGAGTATGTATGTATGTATATAGTTAATAGTTATAGGTATAGAAATCTTATTTTACAATAATACAAGCAACGTGCAATAATATGAATGCGACGTTGTGTGACAATATAACAACGTATACATATATATATATATATATATATATATATTATATTATGTCTAGTCGACTATATTTCCTATATCCCTGGCGCCAGCGGTTGAATGAATCGTGTGGAATTCGGTGTGGACAACAGCACATCAATAGTTTGTATAAAAAAACATCGCTGACCCGTCAATTTCTTCGAGTCTGATCGGCTGCAAAAATAACGTACGACATATTTTAATTTATAATATAGCATAATATAATATAATAATATATTACCCATTCGATGACGTCAGCGGTGGCTGCGGCGGCCGCGGTGGCGTCGATCAGATAGTCAGCTGTACCGTCTTCGCGCATTTTCTTGTGCCAACACTCGGCGAGTTGTTTGCGCGCAAACAATTTGATCTGGTTCGCGAAACAGTATTCATTTTTCGGGACGATATTCAGTGTCGATAAATCGCTGTGGATATTGCATATGATCGCTGTAATTTCTTCAACTGACGAGGATTTTTCTGCGGGTACATTTGCGTATAAATATGCGGCCATAAGATCAGTTTGTCCCATCACCATGTGACGTATAATGTTAGATTTTTGGGCGATAACCTCGTTGATAATCCACTGCATGTCTTGGAGCTTTAATAGATTTCGTCTGCTCAATAATACACGGCGTCCTTTCTGGCGGTGGGATTCGATTACAAGCATATTATTACCGCGATAACTAATTTTGCACAGTGTAATCGTCTCATCCCGGAGTAGCAGTTTTTCGAGGCTTTTAACCGGCGGATCGGTTATAATCGATAGAATATGTCCCATCAACGAGTAAAGGTGCCGTAAAAATCGGTTGTTAAGCCTCGTTCACACGGTGACACTACAGCGTGACACTTAGTGTCCCGACATTTAGTGTCGCGTCAGTGTCGCCGTGTGAACAATGTAGTGTCTCAGTGCCACGATATCGCGGCACTAGTGCCACATATCAAAAATGTTTGATATGCGACACCGTGACACTGGTAGTGTCGATATTGTTATCATTATTATCATTGTTATCATATACACACAGCTCAACTGTGAACAATCTATTTCCGAAAAAAACAGTATTGAAATTTCAAATTTTCTGAATATTTCGATTGCTTATTAAATATTAGTTTGTTTTTCGTGGACGTCACGATGTCACATTTTGATGTGACTAAATTCTTAGAAAGCTATCAACAGCATCCTTGTCTGTATGACAAATCCCTACCAGAGTACAAGGACAGAGAAAGAAGGAACCAAGCGGAAGACGAATTATTGAAAATCAGTGGCCTAGGAAGTATAAAAGAATTACGGTCGAAAGTGAGATCTATACGTGGAGCATATAATAACGAATATCGAAAAGTAAAAAATTCAATGATTACTGGATCTGGATCAGACCAATTGTACAAACCAAAGTTAAAGTGGTACAACTATGCTCATACCTTCCTCCGGAAAAATACAGATAATGAGCCTGAATCCGAAACAAATCTGGTAAGTAAATTAAATACATCATAATAGTTTATTATACTTATAATTGTATGGATAATTAGTAACAAATAACATGAAAAGGTAATAATAAATGATAAATAATATTAATAGTCAAATACAATTTAGTGTAAATAAATGCTTAAATAATTCTTCAAACCAACATTAATCAATAAATTATTAAATAATAACATAAATAGGTAATAATAAATGATAGGTAAACAGTATTAATAATTTTAAATAAATAAATTTAAACTACTATCTATGTTTAAGTACAAGCATTTTTGTAAGTAGTAATTGATAAATAAAGTGCCCATGTGATTTTTTTAAATATGTATGTAATATGTAAATATGTATTTAATATGTATTTATAATATATATTATGTTCACATCTACACGACCTGCATATTTACCATTCTGTACTGCCATTCAACTTCACCTTCGCCCATGAAGTAATTAGCAAACTGGTTTCGTTTTAGACGTGCAGCATCATTAAAATTTCTATCTCTTGTTGGAGCCAAATTTATTATACCACCTGGAGCTGGGTCTTCTCGCCATGATCCCAACTTTACTGTATTATTCACAACATCTTCAATGTCAGTAGTTATACCATAATTGGATTTGTTTTTTTTTCTTATCCAATTATGCAAAGTACAGCATGCTTTTACAATTTTAACTACTTTATTTGGCTCTAGATCAATTGTTCTTGAAAATATTCGAAAACGATTCGTCAAAATACCAAATGCATTTTCACTAATTCTTCGTGCTCTACAGTGTCTATAGTTGTAAACACGTTCCTTAATATGCTGGTTAGGCCGTCTGGGAAATGGTTTCATTAGGTACTCTTTTAGCGGGAAAGCTTCATCTCCCAGAATTACACTATTTTCTGGCAAATCTAACTGATTCTGTATTATTGCAGTGTTAAGAGCTGATTTTCCAAAAATTCCTCCATCCGAAGCACTACCATAGCTCCCTATATCTAAACATGTAAAATTGTAATCATGATCAACCAAGGCAAGAAGAACTATGCTGAATTGGTTTTTATAATTGAAATATAATGAACCAGAATGTTTAGGGGCCTTTATAACTATATGCTTGCCGTCAATTGCACCTATACATTGTGGAAAATTCCATTTCATGTTGAATCCATTAGTTATTATTTCCCACTCAGCTTTTTTTTTTGGTACCTATAACACAAATAAAACAATTATAAAATGTATATTATATTAAAATACTAAAATTGTTTTCTGAATATTATAAATTCAATTTATTTGCTTATACCTCCTACTGAAATTATTTTGTTTTTTAAGAACCTGAACAATGGAGAACTTTCAGAAGAAGTACACATTATGAAAGATACAGATAATGAAACCTCCATGACTTCTGAGATTTATCCTTCAACTACCCAACAGAAAATTATATCAACTCATAAAACCATAGTCAAAGACATTAAATCAAATAAATCAAAACCAAACGAAACATTGAGGGAGGCGTTAGATACTTTGAAAGATATTAGACATCATGTCCGGGACAATGAATTCACCCTATTTGGCCAACAAGTTGGTATTCAACTTAATAACTTGCCACTACGGAAAGCGCTTGAAATACAACAAAAAATCCAAAACCTACTGTATGAAGCTAGACTAGAATACTTAAATTATAAATCATCAAGTTTAAACTGTAGTACACCAATTCCCAGCATAGATAGATCAACAATAAGCTCAATGTGTGACAATTTGGATTCGAACCATTTTGATGTACATTATTATGGACATAGAAGTAAAAGTTTTGATATAAATGCTGTACATAATTTATATGAAAAAAACAAAATTGATGATGGTGATGCTAACGTTCAAGAATCACACAACACAGAGGAAGTACTGACCACATTTTTTTCAAGTTGGAACGACCAAAGCGAGGATGCTTAATATTGATTTTTTGTTTCAAATATTTACAGTTATTATGTTTGATATAATTTTAATTTTTTTGTATCTATTAATTTACCAAAGCGAGGATGCTCAATATTGATTTTTTGTTTCAAATATTTACAGTTATTATGTTTGATATAATTTTAATTTTTTTGTATCTATTAATTTACCAAAGCGAGGATGCTCAATATTGATTTTTTGTTTCAAATATTTACAGTTATTATGTTTGATATAATTTTAATTTTTTTGTATCTATTAATTTACCAAAGCAAGGATGCTTAATATTTTTTAAAAGTTAAAAAATAAATAAATAAAAGAAAACAAATTTAAAACTGTGAAGTCAATTTTTGGGTGAATATACCATTTAACCTTATAGACTACTGCTCCTAGTAGTTTAACACCCATGTAGGAAAGTGTAAAATATATTATCATTAAAACAAACCTTCCCACTATTTAAATGAAATAATTCTTAAGTTAAAACCATTATTATATATTAAACCATTGGAAGTACATGAAAATAAATGAAATTGCATTGAAATAGTTAGAAGTACATGGAGTCTAGTATACCAATATATCAATTAATGGTTTACCACCCATATTTTAGTTGTCTTTTAATTAGTTTAACCGATTTCATTAGGGAGTGATTATAGTTCAGTGCTCATTACTTGTATGAATTCTTTTAACTGAGAAGATATAGCATCTAAAACTTCTTCCAAGAAACAGCTTATAGTATTCTTTGGAACTCTATATAAATATTGAAGAGATGATATTGAATCACCAGATGCTAAGTACCGAAGAACTACTTGCAATTTTATTGCTGCAGGTATTGCTGTTCTCATAGTTGTATTTTGCCTTTGTATAATAGGACCAACCTAAAACAACATTACAAAAGAAGTACTTATTTGTATTATAATAATAAATTATTGTCTTACCTTTTGCAAGAGTTCATAGAACATGTCATAATCAACCCGAAGGAAGTTACAATACGACCTAGGATCTTCAAAATGCAACTCTTTTAGTAACGTTCCTGATGCACCTAAAGTATTCCTTCTACTTATCCATTTTCTAACCCAATATTCACGTTTTTTGGTTTTTTTTTCCAATTCCAGAATAAGTATTTGTTCAAAAACATCTGCTGCTGCGTTTAATACATAATTATTTGCCATTTTTATTATATGTATTATATTTATATTATAATTTGACTGTGGCCACATGGGAGTAAATAAAAATGAGTGGGTAGTAGGTAGTAGTAGTGTAGTTACTGTATTGTGCGTGATATGAGTGCTGCAATGCTGCGGCACTGGTGTGAACAGAACACGACACTTCACCCTGTGGCATCAAACTTTGAACAGTGTCACGCAACTTAGTGTCACCGTTTCAATGACACTTAGTGTCACCGTGTGAACGAGGCTTTATACATACGAACCGCGACGGCGTGACTATCCTGATAGATACGTTGAAATCCATAGACGGGTCGAGTCCGATGCTGATAGTCTTGCGACTGATAAAGTCTATGACGAAATCGCTGGTATCGATTAACTCGGCGAGCGACATATCTCCGTCTAGTCGCAGTTGAACGTCACGTTCCGTCATTATTATTATTATTATTTATTAAATTTAATTTAACTTTGAAAAACAATATAATGAAACACACTTGGTGGACATCGAACAGCTGCACCGGGTATGATCCACGATTATCATATATTTTGGCATGCGAATTAAAAATAATAATTATCTTAGTTAATAGATCAACCACGGTAAGCGTGAATATGTCGTGAAATATATGGGGAGGGGTGATTCTTTCATATATACTAATATACTGCTATACTAGGCTATGTTTAGAGTATATATATATATATATAGTATGTAGTATGTACAATGTAGATAGTATATAGGTGCGTGCATAGTATATACATAGTATGTATATAGTATGTAGTATGTACATAGTATATAGGTATGTGCATAGTATGTACATAGAAGGTATATAGTATATATAGGTATATATAGGTATATACTATAGCATGTTCGGAGTATTTACTATATATATATATATACACCGCGGGAGGAGCCGGATTACGTAGTTCCGGTGCGGGACGGGCGGGGGATTGGCGGAGTGGCGCAATATATATATATATATATATACCGCGGGGGCCCGCGATGACGCGGGAGGAGCCGGATTACGTAGTTCCGGTGCGGGACGGGCGGGGGATTGGCGGAGTGGCGCGGGATGACGCGTAGTACTGGTGGGGAGAGTGGGGGGAGAGATTCGCACGATGACGTAGGGAAACGCGACCGATATATAAGCGGGGTGGGGCGGGGGTAGCGCAGCTTGGCGTCTGGTAGCGCGGTATAGGCTGGGGGTGAGGCGGGGGGCTAGCGCGCAACGTCACCGATGTATTGGTGGTGGAGGGGGAGGGGAAGTGCAGTATAGGCGGGGGGAGGGTGGCGGGGGTAGCGCAGGCTAGCGCAGACTAGCGCGGTATAGGCTGGGGGTGAGGCGGGGGGCTAGCGCGCTACGTCACCGATGTTTTGGGGGTGGAGGGGGGAGGGTGGCGGGGGGAGCGCAGACTAGCGCAGTATAGGCGGGGGGAGGGTGGCGGGGGTAGCGCAGCCTAGCGCGGTATAGGCGGGGGGTGAAGCGGGGGGTCACCAGTACCGGCCTTTTCCTACTACTTTTGTTGGCTATTCGGATAACACGAAAGGTTATCGTGTGTATTATTCGAAAACAAATAGAATTTCGATGTCTAGGGATATTATATTCGAAAACGAAGGTAATAAATTGGAAAATATAATTGCAGACAAATTAGAATTCACAGATACTCAGACTCAAGTCGAGGGCGATCCGGTCAAGGTCGAATTGACGACGGTCGACAACAGGAGTGGCATGGTGCTACGTGATCGGAATACATTAAAAGCGCCGATCAGGTATAATGTGTCGTCGTTCGTCGCCAATCTCGTTGAACCACTAAATCGTGATGAAGCGATAGCTGGCCCACAGAAAAACGAGTGGGAGCACGCTATGAGTGATGAAATTAAATCACTACACAGAAACAACACTTGGTCACTAGTTAATTTGCCTCAGGGCAAGGTTGCGTTACGTAACGCATGGGTGTTCAAAACCAAATATAAAAGTGACGGTAATATCGATAAGTTTAAGGCCAGATTGGTCATTAAAGGTTGTTCACAGAAATACGGTATAGATTACCATGAAACTTTTTCGCCAGTGGTCAGATACGAATCAATTAGGGCGATATTCGCAGTAGCAGCTGTGGAAAAATTAATACTACGACAATTCGACATCAAGACAGCATTTCTGTACGGAGAACTACAGGAAGAAATTTACATGGTACAACCACCAGGATACGAAGATGGATCGAATAAAGTATGTAAGCTTCAGCGTAGTTTATATGGCTTAAAACAAAGTCCAAGATGTTGGAATATACGCTTTAAGAACTTTTTGTATGCATTTGGTTTACAATGTACCGAAGCGGATGCATGTGTATTCAAAGCTGATAACAGCCAAATTATTCTTGCAATATTTGTTGACGATGGTTTAATCGCGGCAGATAATGAAGAGATAATAGAGAAACTTTTAACGAACTTGGAGAAAGAGTTTGAGGTTAAAAAAGGAAACTTAGATTATTTCCTAGGTATGCAGGTAAATATAATGAAAAATGGTTCATTATTTGTACATCAGACAAATTATGCATGTAGCATAATTAATAAATTTAATATGCTGGACGCCAAGGAACTTTCAATACCAATAGACAAATCACATACACTTGAACAAAAAGAAGATACGTGAAATATTGAATGAAGATATTCCTTATAGGCAGGCAGTGGGTAGCTTACTGTTCTTATCACAGGTAACAAGACCAGATATAGCATATGCAGTAAACTTTGCTAGTCGTTACTTAGCAAAACCAACTAAAGCTCATTGGAACTTGGTAAAACGGATTATACGATATATCAAGCGAACATTTAATTATGGCTTGTACTTTAATAACAAAATAAAATTGTCATTAGAAATATTTAGTGATGCAGATTACGCAGGCGACATTCAGACACGACGTTCGACGTCAGGATTTCTATTCAGGTACGGGTCAAGCATAATTTCATGGACATCGCAGAGACAACATTGTGTGTCGTTATCATCGACAGAGGCTGAATATATTTCGGCCAGTGAAGCTGTCAAAGGGATCTTGTGGATTACACGGTTGATAACAAGCTTATCAACAACAGGTGACAAACAATCAGTTTTATTTATAGATAATCAGAGTGCTATACGTTTAGTTAAGAATCCGGAGTTTCATAAGAGGACAAAACATATAGACGTACGGTACCACTTCATACGGGAGAAATACGAAGAGGGACAATTCCAACTACAGTACATTGGAACAGAGGACCAGATTGCGGACATTCTAACCAAGCCTTTGGTTAAGGAACGATTCGAGAAGTTGCGGTCAGCCATAGGAGTGACTACAATTAAAGAGATTATTAATTGAGGGAGGGTGTTGAAATATACAATTAATATGTAGTACATGTAGTCAGCCTTGACACGTGTGTACAATATAGTAACTAGTTATGTACGAGCATAAGACTCACTCTCTTTACGGATGTAACATGACCTCGGTCGTGCATATCTATAGGGCCTTTGATGTATGTAATATTCACTTGCACAGGCGTCGTTCTACAGAGCGTATACGATGTGTGTGTACTGTCACAGTTTAATTGTCCAGTTGTACGTTATTATATATTATACTTATACATAATCATATTGTCGTGTTATTACTTATTATATTAATGCTAACATCATTAGTCCGTCAAGCTTCACTTTCAACAATACAGTTAACAATTTGATTACAGTATTACATTTGATTACAATAATGTGAACATTTTACAATTTTTAATGTCATCATTATTATTATTATTGTTTTTTATTATTCATATTACATTTTGTATATTGTGGTTAGTAAAATAAAATTAATACATGATTTAATTAAATAAATAGTGTTAATAAGAATGATTAATAATCTTTTAATAAAATAATATATGTACCTGAAATTATAACATTATAAGCGTTACGTAAGTATAAAATTTAAGTATTTTCCCCTTTTATATAATAATAATTATCATCTTCCACCTATATACTAATCTATGTGAATAATCGTTAGATTTGCCATAAACATATGCAACTATAGATCTACTTAAGGTAATTCATTATGTAAGTTGGATCTCTAGTGTTTTCTATTATTTTTACTAGTTGCTTGCACTCTCCATTACAATAATCATCCATGAAAAGTTCAAGGCTTCTAGTTATTTTATTTAAGGTTCTATGATCGTAATGGTTATTTATTTTTTGTTTGCCTTTAATATATGCCAATTAAAGCATACGGATTGCAATTTATTTTCTTTAACATTATAAATATGTACTTCCGTTTTTAAAATGGTTTTTAGCTCTTCAATGAATCTAAAATACATAATAAATGTTAATTTATTTATTTGTTTTCATTGTTTAATTTATTGTGTGTTAGATTTATTTATTAACTATAATAATTTATTTATTTTGTCTTAAAATTCCTTTTATATTTTTTTGCTAATTTATATAATTTAATGGGCTTTATTTTTGTTACTATATAATTGAATAGGTATTTTGTTAAAATTAAGTCAGCAATCGGGTCATGACAATGTGTAATATTATGATTAATACCGCATGCTAGTTCATGAGCTTCTGACAATCCTAACATTCTACCATTTTTATTTAATTTACCTAAATAGCCCGAATATAATACTTCCTTAGTTTCTAGGTTTGTTAATTCTAATATAAAATCATCATTATTCCTAATACTAATTGCAGATATGTTTAAAAATGCTAAAATTCTTGTCAACCTTAATCGCTTAATTATTGTGATATCTGATGATCCGTTCCAAAATACTACTATCGGCTCCCTATTGTTTATGTGCAAATATCTTTGCAAGTATACCGTAGACAAGGTTGATTCCCCCTGGTGACTTACACTTCTGTATAATTGTTCCAGCAATGGTTCAAACACTCTTGCCTTTTTCCCGCGGAATACTCGTTTGATATTCTGCACTATATTCTTTAGGTCGCATCGGCGGAATCTTCTTAACTTATCATCATTTGTAAGTATAAGAGGGCTCCCCT